CCAAACTGAAGGGGGTTGAGGGGAAACAAGCAGAAATGATGAGAGTGGTGGGGGTGGTGGCGGTAGATAGGCAGTTAATAGAGAGGCGAGTGTCAGTGCAAGCAAAAGGTTAAGGTTCGGGGAGTAGTTTCACTGTCCCATAAGTTCGTGCGCTCTTTAATTACTAAAAAAAGGTTCTCATGTTACATAATCTGCTTGATGTATCCATATTATATGTTACCTGCTTTCTCTATCCAAATTCCAACATTTACAGCTCAGAAAAAATGCAGTGTCGAGTCGATAAGAATGAACATTTCCGACATTTTTCGTTCACTCTAGTCCGAGGTGTTGCTTGGAGCTTAGTCATCCACTCTTTTGTTTCATCTTCACGTGCAAGCACCATTTTTCATCACAAGTCCTAATGAGCTTCAAAAATGGGTCACGTTGTTGACGGGCGAAGCGATGTGGGGCGAGAAATTAGGCAAAAACATCGGCGCCTGACCCTTGTCGACCTTGCGAATATCGAGCTATTGTCGATTTACCACGTTCCGTCTCTTTGGCCAATTCACGAAGTGTTTGACGAGGATCTCCATTAAGACTATCCTCGTCGAAGCCTAGCTTCCGTCCAAAACGTGGAGCGTCCGTCGTACGGAAATCGTCTTCTTCGAAACGAGAAAACCATTTTTGAGCTTTCCTTTCAGCAATAGGATATTCCTGGAAACAGCAAAAGTGTTTCTGGCGACCTTCATTGAGTTGACTTCCTATATTGAAGATGTATATTCATATAGATAGGTATCGGAAATGTTCATTTCGTCAAGCTGACACTCCATTTTCTTTGAGCTGTAAATATTTAAAATGTAACCCAAATTAAAAATTGTAAACAAATTCTGACATCAATTGGATAGGGGAACAGGTATGATTGTCGGCGGCGATCATCCGCCTCAACCCAGCCTTTATGGAAATTTCGTCGGTCCTCTAAACAGGATGTGAGAATAGGAACATCATGCCCCAGTAAACCTGGTCCTGTACATAATTCCAGTAAGAGTAAGTATAATAAATAAATATAATACTCTAACAGCATTCGTAGCCTTAATCTTAACCCGAAATCTACCCTTAATCCCAATCCTACAATTAGCACCAATCCTGACTTAACTTTAACTTAAGATCAACCCTAACCTTAAATACAATCCTAAACTTAACCCTACATCAAATCATAAGCAAAACCCTATTTTCCCTAACAAAATTCAGGTTATGCACTGTTCTTTTGGTAGACTCAGATCGTTTACAAAACCTTTAAGCAATGAGAGCCCTCGTCACATTTCCATTTCCCTCGCAGTTGAAAAGTTGAGGGGTTTGGAAACTACGCATACCCACCACCTGGACGGG